CAGGGTTAGTATCAGGGTTATGCTAGTTTTAGAAAATAAATTTTGTAAATTAAAAAATAAAGGAAAGTTCCTACCTTTCTCTATTCTTTGAGATAGTTTGAACAGCTCCAGTTGTTTGTAGGATCATTTCTTAATCCTTTTACTTTTTTAGAGTAGACTATTTTTTTAGAGCAGTTTTAGTTTCGCAGCAAAATTGAGTGGAATGTACAGGGATTTCCCATGTACGTCCTGCCCCCGCTATCATCTGGCACCACGATGGTACATTTGTTATAATCCATGAACCTCCATTGATACATCAGAGTCAACCAAAGTACATAGTTTACATTAGGGTTAACTCTTGTGTTGTACACTGTAAAGGCTTTGACAAATGTATAATGACATGTATCCAACATGATAGTGTCCTGGGAAATAGTTTCACTGCCCTAAAAATCCTCTGTGCCCACCTGTTCATGCTTCTTTCGTTTCTGGGCCCTGGCAACCACTGATTCTTTTGTCTCCATAGTTTTGCCTTTTCCAGAATGTCATATGGTTGGAATCATACAGTATGTAGCTTTTTCAGATTGTATTCTTTCTCTTACTAAGATGCATTTAAGATTCCTCCATGTTTTTTAATGGCTTGATAGCTCATTTCTTCTTAGTGCTGAGTAATATTCCATTGTCTTAATGTACTTTGGTTTATTTATTCATTCACCTATGGAAGGGCATCTTGGTTGCTTCTAAGTTTTGGCAATTAAGAATAAAACTGCTGTAAACATCTATGTGCAGGTTTTGTGTGAACATAAGTTTTAAACTACTTGTGTTAATACCAAGAAGTGTGATTCCTGGATAATAGAGTAGAATGTGTTTAGTTTTGTAAGAAACTGCCAGACTGTTTCTATATAGCTGGACCATTTGAGTTCCTTTCTATATTTTTTTACATAATATTTTAATGTTAAAATTTCACCTGGATATACCTAGATGGTCTGCCCTGGCCTCTCTAAATAGTTTGCCTAGTACTCAGTGTGACTTTTCATCTAAACACTCAATTCTTCAGCTCAGGAAATTTACTTTATTTCTTTAATGATTATTTCTCCATGGGCTCTGCTCTCTACTTCTAGAATGTCTATTATATAAGCGTATTTGAGTTCCTGGCATTTCCCCTCTCTCTCTATTCTTTTTTTCCTCCAGACGTATGAGATAGGTTCTCGAAGTGGTCTTGCCTGATTTGATTTTTAATCTGAAAGTAAATTTCCTGCTTTGCATAATTTCCCCAAATTCATGTATGGATTGACTTTTGAATATTATTTAAATAGAATATAAATTTGGGGATTTTACTATTTTTCCATTTTTTAGATTCTAGTAACCCTGGTAATAAGGTACAATACTTGATATCTTTTTTCATATGTCTAGCAATTTTCCTCTATTTGTTCACTTTAAAGAGGGACCTAGATCTATGTTTGTTTGGTATTGTAATTGAAATGGTTCTAGGGGCGCCTGGGTGGCTTCATTGTTAAGCATCTGCCTTCCACTCAGGTCATGATCCCAGGGTCCTGGGATTGAGCCCCGCATCAGGGAGCCTGCTTCTCCCTCTCGCACTGCCCCTGCTTGTGTTCCCTCTCTCGCTGTGTCTCTCTCTCTCTGTCAAATAAATAAATAAATAAATAAAAATCTTAAAAAAAAAAGAAATGGTTCTATAAAAATTATGTAGCTTAGTTTCAAGCATGTTGGCTTCAGACAGTGGAGAAAGAAGAGGAAAACCTGGTTGTTTATGGTTTAGTGGAGTGGGCGTAGGGTGGTGCTCTACTTGGCCATGATTAGAGCAGGAAGAACTCCTGAGAAGACGAGAGAAGTTTGCTGCTGTTCTGGGCAACTTCTTTTCAATATTTACCGAGGCAGCCTAAGGTTAGGCAAAGGACTATCTCCCTTCTCTAACTGGCATGAGCATCCAGGTTAGGAACCTGCTGATCATTATCCCTACTTTTCTGTGCAAAACAAAAGGTGGGCTGAGTCTTGGCCTTTCCTCTGAGAGCAGACAGTTGTGTTCCTAAAGTGACTCAACTTGTTTCCTGCCTGTGCCCACCTCACCCTTATTTCTAGTCCTGGCTGTCTATCATAGGGCTTAGGGAGGCTCTGGGGGACATACCCTCCACTACCTCCCGGAGATGCCCTTCCTTAGTCAATGCATCCATCAATATGGTTTAATTTGCACTCTATCTTGTAGAAATCCCTTAAATTTTCTGGACCAGAATTTGTAACAGAGAGGGGTTAAGTGCATGGGTTCAAATTATGATCTATAAACGAAGATCTGGAGACTGTAACTTTTGGCAGGTTAGAATACGAAACTGATTTTTACAGTTTCACCACTAGGTGGTGCCACCAATTACTGAAAACAATGGTTGGATCGTGGGACAACCAAGAACCACTTGTATCCGGAACAAGCACAATTTTGTGAGCTTGTATGGAAGTTGTATGCACTTGTGCGTATGTGCACGAGTGTGTGCACACACAATTCTCGGTGCATGAGTTTACCCACAGAGCAGTTTACAAGGGCCCACAGGCATGTTAAGTGCATGCATAGGTCTGCGCCCTGGAAAGTATGGGCATGAAGCTAAATGATAGGAACTCCAAAAGGCTGACCTATCAGCTGTATGGTCTGAAACTCCAGTCCCTCAGCTAGGAAGGCAGCCTGTGGAGTGTGCAGAAGACCAAACCCTATGGGAGAAATACAGTCACAGTGCTACAGAACAGCTTTTCTGACACAACCACACATTCCTCTAAAGTCATCAGTCCTGCAAACCCTTCTGGACAGTCAGGACTACAAGAAGGTCTCAGTCACTTCTGCAGTCCCAGAGGACTGTGGTCTCTATACCTTCCCCCAGGTGCTCAAAGCATCTTATCAAATACCCACCCTGGGATCCTATCTTCTGTCCAGGTGGGAAGTGACTCTGTACTTAAGAAAACAAATGTCATGTGTATGTGTGTGTGAGAGGGGTGGAGCGTTTAGTGTCCACATCTGTCTATCGATGTCCCTGTTATCTCTGTAGAAGGTCCCCAGCTGATCTCAGACTCTCATTCTGGATTGCCCCCCTCACTCCAGGAATAGTGCCGTCTTCATTACCTGCTATACAGAATAGCCCACAAAGCTGGGAAAACTTAAGCAAGTTGCTTCCCTTCTCTGGCCTCAGTTTCTCTAACTCTTCAGTGACGGCTGGGTCTGGGTGATTCCAAGAGGTCCTTTGTGCTGACTGAAGCCCTGCATGTCTGCAGTTTGCAGGGTCCTGCCCCCATCCCGTGGCTGGTGTGGAGTGGGAGTCTCCTTAGAGAAGAAGGAGAAAGTTCTGTTTGCTTTTTTTCCTCTTCTTTCCAGCAGACTTCCCTCCTTAACAGGCCCTGAGAGAAGGCAGCTGGGTTCCCAGGGCCCCAGAGGCCATAGGAGGAAGTTCTCACTCCGGCATCATTAAAAGTTTAAGTGGCTTTCCCTCTGAGGGTGAAAGTCCCTGGATTCATTAGAGCTGCTGCCCCCTGAGTCCAATTTGGTTGAAGGGATCGTTTGGCGTTTTCATCCAGAGAAGGTTTTCACTAAGGGTTTGGGGCCTCCCTGAGAGAGCTCATCTCATTGAGGTCTGAGAGGAAAAGTCCCCAGAGGTCACTTCTTGTCCTGGCACTTTTCCAGAGGAGGAACCTGGCTGGGTCAGGGGAGGGGCTTGCCTAAGGACACATGGAGGCTGGCTGCTGAAAACATTCCTCCAGGGGGCAGGGCAATGAGCGGTACCAGGGAAGGGTAGGGAGGGAGGGTGGGGGGCCTCATTGTGGAGGGCCCCTGGGCATCTGCAGCTTATGGAGTGAGATGGAGAGCTGCATGTGCAGAGGAGCTTTGAGGACGGCCTGACAAGCCCACAGCAGAAAGGATTCCCCGGGGAGATAGTGGGTGCCTGGCCCTTAGGCATGTGAGCTGGATGGACAGTGCTTGTTTAGGATGCACAGAGCGGATTCGGGATTAGGAGGGGCAGGGGAGTCTGACTGCTCAGGTTCTGCCTGCTTTGTAAGTTCTTCACCAGGAAGGAATAGCATGTCACTCCTGCTGTGCAGAAGGTGTGGGATGGGGCCAAAAGCCTGCCATTTATGGCCAGTTGAGACTGTTGAACGGGGAACCAGGAGGCTGGGACGGGGTCTGGCCTCTCTGAGCTCAGCAGCCTCCTTCCTGCCTCCTGAGCATGGGCTAACACCCAGACCGGGTGGGACCGAGGACCTAGAGACAGGATTCAGCTTCCCTAATGATGAAAATCTGCCCGCAGTACCTCACTGAGCTCCTGAAGCACGGGACAATTCATTCCATAGGGCCTGTCCCTGTCCTGGAGGACTCGGGTGGCAGGACAGGGAGCCAGAGACTCTCAAATGCTGAGGTCTCTCTGGTCCACACTCCACTGCAATAATATTGATGGCAAATGTGTGTCAGGGACTAGTTTAAGTGCGTTATAAATCTTAACTCCTTGAATCCTTAGAAAACCCTATGTATGGGGGAAAGTACTCTCATTGGCCATTTTGCAGTTGAGGAAATGGAGGCACAGAGAAGTTAAGTGACTTGTGCACAGTCACAGAGCTAGTGAGTTGTGTTGTTCCAGAATCCACGTTCTTATTGGCTACGTTTTACTGTCTAAGAGTGGAGGGCGCTGAGGCCAGGGAGGGGAAGGGACCGGCCTGGTCACTTGGCCAGGTGGCAGAGATGGGGGGGGCTGGGCCTCTTGTCCCCAACCTCAGGGCTCTTCCTTCCACAGCCCTGGCTGACAGTGCCTCTGTCCCCACCCAGCCTCCCCATGGACCTCCCCAGAGTTAACAGTCCCCTGGCCTGGCGCTTGGCAGGCAGCTCCAGCCCAAAGAGGCTGCGCCCACATTCCCTGGCTGCTCTCCAGCCCGCAGGAGCTGAGACAACAAGGTCCAGGGACTGTGAGGGCTGAGCAGAGGTGGCCGAAGGGGAGGAAGCAGCAGGGAGCCGCCGAGTGGGAGGACTGTCCAGCTCCCGGATGCTAGGCCTCGTGGGCTTGATCACTGGCGCTGCTGCGGCCGTTCTGCTGCTGCTGCTGCTGGCCGCCTGCCTGTGCCGTGGCCGGCAGTACCCCGGTGTGGAGAGGAACCGCCCGGCTGCGAGGACAGACCGGGTCCGGTGGGCCCAGCCTTGCTTCTTCCCGCGCCGGGGCCACCTGGGCCGCCCTCACTGTCTCCATCATCCTGGCCACGTGGCTCGCATGCACCATGCGGGCCTCCAGCACCACCACGGCCCCCGAGGCCGCCGCTGACACCTGTGAATGGCAGCCACTGCCTGCCCTTCCATCGCAGGGACTCGTGGACGCCCGTGCTCCCGTGCAGAGGGGCGCCTCTGGGTGGTAAACGCTGGGTACTGTGCCCGGCCCTGCTGGGCTGCTTCTGCATACTATGCCCCAGAGAACTGAGGGGCACCAGGTGTGGCCCTGCGCACATCGAAGGGTGACGGGGTGAGAGCAAGCGGGGCCCTTTGGGGATGGAGCCGCCTTGTGACTGTCACTCCCAGCGGACGCCGGTGCACGTGGACGCCCAGAAGACGTGCCGCGCTCCTGGAAGTGCTGTCTTCTGACGTACTGTATGTACTGTCCGCAGGTCCCTGGCCCGGGGGCTAGCTGGGAGGGGCCGGCAATGCCCTCGTATTTGGAGAAGGCAGTACGAGGCTGCAAGGTCCATTCACTTGTGCCTTGATGCAAGAAAATAAAAACCACTAAGAAGCTTTTGTGAAGAGGCTCTTGATTGTAACTCAGGTGGGAGAGGGAGCAACCAGGCGTGTGTCCGCACTGCCCTGGGACCTTCCTCTCGGAAAAGGAGTGAATGCCTGGCACAGGCGCCCTCTGCCTGTGGGCTGGAGGGCACTGTGGCCGGCCCTGTGGTGCTCTGAGGGCAGTGGGGAGGGAATGCTCGGGACCCAGGCTTTGAGGGAGGATTTAGGGTTTGCACGCAGCCCTGCCCAGAGAGGGCTGTCCGTGTACCAGGGGGGCTCTGGGCCTCTGTGGGACAGTCCAGGGGCTCAGGGAGAAGAGGGATGAGGCCATGCAGGCTGGCCCCCAAGGGCTCTACCTCCAGCGCTTTTCCCAGCCCATCTCCAGGGCAGACTGAGCTCTGGGACCTGCAGAAGCCCCACTCTGTGGGCTGTGTTGAATTCAGTATTTCCTTGGTAACTGGGTCAGGGTTTCTTATCCAAGCCTTGAGTCTTCAGCTCCCCGTGCTCACGGGTGTCTGTGTATACCAGAGGGGTGGAGAGGTTCTTTAAACTGCAGGAGGTGGTGCTGGGTGGCCTTTGGAGAGTGCTTGCCTCCTCGGGATCTCAGTTTCCTCTTCCCTAAAATGGGATAGATAGCGGAGACTCCTTCTTGCCAAAGCCTGGAGACATGTTCCAAATATCCCATGAATAGCTGGCAGAATTCCACAGGGAGGAAGGAAATCTTGTTCTGAGGTCTTTAGCCTGTGCTTGGGTGGGAAATGGAGGGAGGAGATCCTTGGGGGCCAGGAGAGGTGGTGGTGGTAGTGGGGGCTGACTCGAGAATAAGCCAGAAAGTCAGGGGCCTGGTGACTCATTGGAACAGAACATCCTGTTTCTTTTCTATTTCCCAGTGGATTCTCCATGAGGCCTGGGGGGTGTGATGGGGAGGGTGAGGCGAATTCACACTGACAACCACACTAGATTTCTGGGCTGGGAAAGTAGGCCATGGGTCAGTATGTATTGCTGATTTTATCTCTGCTGTGTCCTTCAAATCCTCCTCCCGTCCCGCATCCCCATGTTTGCCCTAGCTTGTCCCCCCAGCCTGGATTCCTGCCCACCTCCAACCCTGCCCTTTCTGAAGCATCTCTGCGTGGCCTGAGGGATCTGCCGAAATGCCTCATCACCCTAGGGGGAAAGTCTCTGCCTCTCGGTTGGCTATTCAAGGCCCCCTGATCTGGTTCCTGCCCCTTGCCCCTTTTCTCCTGTCCATACTGCTTTGTCGTCATTGGCCCCAGAAAACACCTCATACCTTCCCCTCTCTGGGTCTTTGCTCAAGAAGAATTTGTTGCTCCCTCATATAGGTTTCCAATTTGTTACAAGATTTATTTTTGTATTTATGTTGGAACACAATTACATTGTCTCCTTCCCCCGAGATTTATGGCAGGATTCAGGGACCCCTACCCTCCTAGGTCTGAGAACCTTTGAGGGCTCCCTGCCCCCAGTGCAAAACCAGCCAAAACAACAGATGCTCAGGAAAAATTCTCAGAACCTCATGCTCTCTGGAAAAGTAAATATGATTGGAATAACCCCTGCCAGAAATTTGGGGCTTGTGGGATACCAAGTATAGCAGTAGGGCCCCGAGAGGATTAGGCCTCTGAGTTCCTGGGGCCTTGCTGAGGGGGCTCGGGTTCCCACTCCGTCCCTGGTGTTGGGGATCTGAGAACTGGGAAACATTTAACAGATGGACGTGTGTGGCCTGCTGTCTTGGACGTCTCCTCTCCCTCATCTCTCTGCGGAGCCCCATGTCAGACTCGGATGGCCTGCCTGTCCTCGGTGTGGCCTGGAGTCTCTAGGAGAGCGCTATTCTCTCTGTTCTAGGATGTCTGCCACCATCTTTGCCTTTCCTAATGTAAGGAAAAGTGTGGGATGTGGTCTTTTTCTGATCAGTTGACGATGGTGGATCTGGGAGGACACATACATATCTAAGTGATAGTTATCTTGGGGAGTCCCATGGCATCTGGTGTCCATGGGCAGGGGCTGTATATCACAGGATGACAACAGTCACAAGAAGAAGAGAAGATACCCAGAAAAAACCCTTAGTACAAATGTCTCTGAGCTGTGGGCAAACAGGTATGGCTGTCTTGATCTTTTCAACTTGCGTGATCCTGCTGCTGCCACTTGTTACAGGCCAGGGCTGTGGGGGGAATGGTCGAGGGCGAGGATCCTGGACTGAACGCGCACTGTGGCGAAGGCATCTGCACTTCGTCCATCTTTGTCAGACATTGCTCCTTTTGCCCTGGGCTTGAGATGCTGTGTTGGCCATTCCACGTGGCAGACTGCCCATGTGATGTGAAACCCCGCGGGGCCTTCAGAGCGGACTGCACCTGTCCTCACAACATAAGCCAGGTCCCTCACATTGTGCCACGCAGCATCCATTCAGATACTGAATGCCTGTTGTGAGAATGGACCAGAAGGCCTATTTTACTGATGAATCAAGGAAGGGCCCCCAAATCTCAGAATCAGATAAGGAAACCGATGCAAGGCAGAAGGTAAGAGGGCTGAGCAGTCGCCTTTGTTCCAGTTTAAAACTGCTGAAAATTGCACGTCTACCATAAGTGGCCTCCAACTCTATGCATCCACAAAGAACAGGCAAACCAGAAGTCAGAGAACAAATAACTCGGCTTGAAACCCGGTTCTTCTGGTGTCTTCTACCTCCTGAATTGGCTCATCATGTTTCCTTCGCTCTGCTCTGGGTGCCCCGGTCAATCCTAGTAATTCGAGGTGTCCAGCTTCCTGCCATGGGCTCAGCTTGCCCGGAGCTGCTCATGCGGCGGAAGAGCCCTGAGCTCATGCTGGAAAAGGGAAGAGTGAGAATTTGACAGGCTCCATGTAGCCCGAATAGTCACTCATTCTGTGCTTAAGCAGCCTCCTAAAACTGGTACTAAAGAAAATTCACTGGGTCCTTGGAGAGCTTGCAAAGGACCCAGGCTGTGTGACCTCAGGCTGGCCCTTTGCCCTCTCTGGGCCTTTGCACTCCGATCAGTAAAACTGTGGAAAGAGGTGATTGCTCCGTGGCCCCGTGGTACCCGGGAAGAGCATTGAGCTAGGAGGGAAAGGAGGGAAGCCCCCCCTACCCCTTCAGCCATTTGGTGCTCTTGTTATCACTATGACTAATGAGCAGTAGGCTACAGGCAGGTCATTTAACTTCTGACTATATGCATTTTGTCTGTAAAATGGAGACAATATCACTTCCCAGGGTTGCTGGAGCCATTATATGAGATAATGCCTGGCTGTGTCTGGTACCTGGGAGCATTGTTTCTCTCCACTCCATTCCTCATAGTTTGGGTAAAGCCTCCTTTCTGGAAGTGGGGTGGTGTCAGGGGGTGGAAGAGCCGCGACTGAGTGAGAGGATGCAGCCCTTCTGGCGGACTTAACTCAGCGGCCTGGCCTGGCTCAGCCCTCACCCGGAGCGGCCAAGTGGAGAACCCGACTGCGCAGGGCTGGAACGGCGCGGGTGTGCGTGGGGGTGGGGTAAGTGCAGTCACCAAGGGGGCAGGCAGCTGTGCAGGTCCTGGGCCCACACTCACAATTGGAGGAAGGAATTCAGGAAGTGCTCACGGCTACTCAGACATCTCGGAGCCTTGTCCCAAGCAGGACAAAGGCTGCAGCACCCAGGGATGAGTGGGCCATGGCCTGGCCTGTGGGGTGGCCCCCATGTCAGGAGGCCACGGCACCGCGTACAGCCAGCGCTGTCACTCGGGGAAGCCCGGGGTAAGTTGTCATAGCACCTGAGCGTGGGCGGCAGGTGTGAGGGCTGGGGGGAGGCCATGCCAAAGAGGGCTTCTCGGGAACGGGAACCACACGGCAAAGGAGCCCCGTCGGAAGTCACTGAAGGGGTTCAGGTCCTGGTGGGAGCATACCCTGACTTCTCTAAACAGCGCTCTCCCAGCCCCATGTAGAAAAGGAGGCCGAGTCAAAGGGACCGCAGCCCCTGCCGAAGGCCCCGTGGCCCTCGTGGTGCCCCTGCAGTGCCCCCAGCCCGACCTTGCCCAGGGTGGAAGAGCCGCGACTGAGTGAGAGGATGCAGCCCTTCTGGCGGACTTAACTCAGCGGCCTGGCCTGGCTCAGCCCTCACCCGGAGCGGCCAAGTGGAGAACCTGACTGCGCAGGGCTGGAACGGCGCGGGTGTGCGTGGGGGTGGGGTAAGTGCAGTCACCAAGGGGGCAGGCAGCCTTCCTGCCCACCTGCGTTCCTGCCCACCTGCGTTCCTGCCCCGTGCCGGCGGCCAGGAGCTCAGGAGGCAGCAGATAGGCTGACTCAAGGACTGGCCCAAGGTTCTTCCAGGGGAGGAGACCAGGCTCATCCTGGATCCCCAGGAGGGGGAGTATTTTGTCTTTTGTCCGAGCAGACAAACTCTCTCGAAGTGGGTAGGCGGCACCAGAGGGCCGGGTTGGCAAGGTTCCCTCTGAGCAAAGTCTTCTGCTCCCTCTTCCTCAGCCCCTCCGAGTCCGGGGAGTCTTGAGCTCACATCTTTCAGGACAGCTCTTCTTCCAGAAGCTGCCAGTGGAGTTGACCACGGCTCTTGGGATCCTGGCCAGAGGCTTAGAAAACAGTAACAGACAGCAGCTGAGGTCTGATGGCGCAATGCGGAGTGCCCGCCGGCCTGGTGGGGCCGTGACCCGGGGCCTCAGACCGGCATCTGCTAGGAGCCCACAAGGAGTGCGGCTGGAAGAGCAGGGCGCCTGCTACCCCCCAGAGCCCCCTGTTTCGGGTGGGGAGCTGAGGCTCTAAGACTCGGCCCTGGTTGCTCAGCAGGTCACCTGCCACACGGGGCCATGGAAACAGCAGTGATTGGCATGGTGGTGGTGCTGTTTGTGGTCACCGTAGCCATCACCTGCCTCCTCTGCTGCTTCAGCTGTGACTCGAGGACCCAGGATCCTCAGGGGGGCCCTGGCCGCAGCTTCACAGTGGCCACGTTTCACCAGGAGGCTTCTCTCTTCACGGGGCCGGGTCATCATGCCCAGCCGCCGGTGGCGGGTGCCCGGGACTTCTGGACCTTCATGTGAGGCCTCACAGTCCCCAGGATTTGTTCTGCTGGTGGGTCAGACCCACTCACCCCCCAGTAAGCCTTCCCTGGTGTCCCACTCCTCCAAGGCTGTATTGGGCGAACTCCCCGTCCCAGCCCAGCCCAGATTGCTGTGCCCGCCAGCCTGGGAGATCCGCAGGGCTGGGACCATGTGGAATTCAGCTCCGAGCCCTGAGAGTTCAGCTGGACCCTACCCACAGGCTGGGGCCTAGGAGAGGCCTGAAGAGTGAGTGACTGACTGGGTAAAGTCGGATGGAACTGAGGCCAGCTCTTCTGATTTACCGGGGACTGCAATATCACTGGAGCTGACTGGGCACAGAGCGCTAGTTCGCTCAGGTTACCCCAGCGTGCCCGTACAACTGGTTCTATTGCCACCAGAAGAAACAGTGCCCCCAAGTGGACATTTTTACATTTTTATCTGCCCCTTTGATCGAGTCGTTCTGTTCCTTGCAAGGGCACATTGCACAGAATCCAACCCTGAGACCTGTCCCCTGTCGGTTGCCTGAAATCAGACCTGCAATTCTGCAACCAAAGGGCTGCTTCCTTGGGAACAAGTGATTTATTTTATAATTGAAAATGTATATCCTTAGGGCGCCTGGGTGGCTCAGTTGGTTAAGCAACTGCCTTCGGCTCAGGTCATGATCCCGGGGTCCTGGGATCAAGCCCCGCATCAGGCTCCCTGCTCAGCTGGAAGCCTGCTTCTCCCTCTCCCACTCCCCCTGCTTGTGTTCCCTCTCATGCTCTCTCTCTCTCTCTCTCTCTGTCAATTAAATAAATAAAATCTTAAAAAAAAAAAGAAAATGTATATCCTTATATAGGTCTCTCAAGAACCAGGGCTAAAAACTACAAAAGGAAACAGAAGAGGAAAAAAAAAGTCACAGAAAGTACAAGCTGTTTGATTAACAGGAAAGCCAGAAAGAAGACTTTGAAACATATTTTGAATGAGACTTTATTACTATATTCTTAGAGGTCACTTCTGTTCTTAGAGAATGTGAGTGACTTGCGTCACTTGGGAATGATAGAAAAATCATGAACTGAAAGATAATTCCAAATAAATTAAAATGTTATGTTACATCGAGAGCATGTAACAAAGCTCTTGTTTTTGTCACAAAAAAAAAGATGCTCAGTTTTTATTAATAGAAAATCTGTTTTTTTTTCTGTACCAGGAAATAAATCCTGTGCCATATTTAGAATATAGTTTGAAGGGTGCAAACTTCTGGGTCTCCTGGCTCATATGTCTCCATTCAGCCCTGAATGGATAGCCCTCTGCCTCTTGAAGGGGGCAAAACTGACCCTTCCAGGGGTCTGGCCTCTACAGGTACCCAGACAGGCCATCTTGGCCACAGGAAGGACTCTCAGAGAGAGGCTTGTGGCTGCAGAGGTGCAGAGGGGGGAAGGGGGCAGGGAGAGTGTCAGGCTGGCAGAGAGGGATGGAGTAGGGGAGCATGGGGAAGGGAGAGGCACGGCCCAGGGACAGGAGTTCCTGGGAGCTTGTTGTGGTCACCCTGGACCCAAAAGCCCCCAAATGGGGCCTTCCTAGATGCACGTGGAAGGGAACGGTTGCAGGTTGCATTCTCCACAAATGAACACTGAGACGAAGTTCGGGGTGCAAGATGTTTATAGGGGTCAACATCTGTGAGGGGAATGAGGAGAAAGCAGGATTAGATGAGGAACAAATCAGATTATGATGCAGGCCCTTAATACCCGCCTCCTACCTTTGCTCAGTCTCTGACTGCGGCCCACCCCTGTTCCCTGTCCCCCAAGGTCTGACCTCTGGCAAAGCAGCTCTGCAGCTGAGGCTGCCCCTGAAGTCCTTCCTTGAAGGGGTCCTGGGTGGTGCCTTTCTCAGAACTCAGCAGGGACCTGTTCTCAGGGGTGCCCAGACATCAGAGGTAGGGGAGCATGTCTAGACACAAAGAAATACCTGGGCATGGAAGCTCCAGATGGGCAGAGACAGAAGTGCAAGGTCTGGGAGGAGAGAGCAAAGTCAGCTCTGGTCCAGGTCAGGTGCCTTTCAGCCAAACCCAAGTATCAGGACCCCAGGCCTAGAGCCCTTTCCCTGTGCTGTGTGGTCACAACCTCCTTGGGTCCTTGGAAGCAGAGTCTGCAGGCTGGAATCACATGACTCTGGAAACAAAGCGATGGCAAGGAGCCTGACCTAACACTGTAGGTGATGGGCAGTCTGTCAAGTTTCCTCATTTGTTCACTTGCTAATCCACCCACTTATCTGCCCATCCATCCATCCATTCATCCACTCACCCACCCATTCACCCGCTCATCCATCCATCCATCCATCCATCCATCCATCCATCCATCTACTCACCGAGTCTTCCTTCCTTCCTTCCTCAAGCATTTGTTCATTCATTCTGTCACCTGTTCTCTTATTTAGTCATTCACTCCTCTATCAATACACACTGGCTGAGCACCAACTGTGTACCAGGCTATGCCCAAGGAACATGGGAGTCAACCAGACATGGTCCCAGCACTTGGTGAACTCCCAATTTAGTGACCTAGACACGGCTGCACATAACACACTCAGGTGCTCAGGGGAGGGAGAGCTGGGAGACCCAAGGAAACCTGGCAGGAGACCTGAAGAAAAGAGGGCACTTCAACAGGAAGAGTTTGAGAGAGGGTGTTCCAGAGGGAGCAGCACGAGTGGTGATTCAGAGAACATGTGGGGGCAGGGAGTAGGCAATTCAGTGAGAGGAGATGAGGCTGGACCACAGCCAGCTCCCGAGGGAAGCACTTCTTGCTTCCACATCTGGAATGCTTCCAGATGCTTCCACATCTGGCCGGCACGTTTCTGGGCAATAGATGATGAAGGCAACAAAGAGGCAGCCTTGCTTGTTGGGTTGGACAAGTAGTCTTTCCAAGCACACACACACACAACACACACCAGCATTGCAATCTGCTATTGCTACAAAGGAGCTCGAGAGGTCTTTGGAGACTCTGGGCAAGGCCAGCCTCGAGTGGAGCTGGGCTCAAGGATGTGGGAGAAGCTGTCCCAGAGATCAGGGAGTTTGAGAAGGGAAGGTAGGCAAGGCCAGCACCCCGGAGCAGGCCGACAGAAGGAGGAGGCTGGGGAGGAGCAGCTGAAGAAGAGACAGGAGGGTGGGGAGCACATGGGACAGAGAAGCAGGGAGTAGGGTTGCCAGATTTAGCAAATAAAAATGCAGGACATCTAGTTATTTTAACTTCAGATAGACCAAAAAAAAAAAAGTATTTAGTATAAGTATGTCCCATGCACTATTTGGGACAGACTTATACTAAAACATTATTTGTTGTCTATCTGAGAGTCTATTTTAACTGGTGCCCTATATTTTATCTGGCAACCTTGCAAGGGAGAAAGTGGCTCTCAGAGAGGACAAGTCAGCTGGTGGAAAGCATCAGGGGGGCTGGCGACAGTGAGCACAGAGCAGAGACCTTGGATTTTGCAACATGAGGGTTGACAATGACCTTGGTGAGAAGAGTTTGAGTGGAGTGAAGAGAGTGGCCCTACGGTGGTGTGTGTGGGGTGCATGCCTGTGTGGGGGTGTGTGTGTGAAAGGGCAGTTGAATCAGTGGGAGCTGAGGAAGGGGAGGTTGCAGTTGAAGATAATTTGAAGGGAAGAAGAGCCATGTATTTTGACCAGAACAGCACCATGCTGAGGGAGAGAGAGGTGACTATTATTTTTAGGAATGGGAGGGAGGTTGAGCATGTGTTGAGCAAGGAGGATTGGGGAGGGAGACACTAACAGTACATTAGCAAGGAAGAGACCCACAGAGGGGTCCCCAGGATGGGCCTGGGAGTCAGAGCTCAGGAAGGGGGTCGGGGGGTCAGGCCCAGATGGTGGCATGCAGTGCAGCAATGCTGCTGGGAAAGATGTTCGGGAGTGAAGATAAAGCCTGTGTGCTTGCCTGTCGGGGGGAGAAGAGAGAGGAGCATGTCACGTTGGATGGTCCGTTTTCTCAGCGAAGCAGGAGCATCTGCTGGAAGCTGGGCGTGGGGTAGCTGGGATTAAGGAAGTCTGGAGGGATGACCCAGAGAAGGGACGAGCAGCTCCTACAATTCTACTTTCCTTATGTATGTGGAGTGTGTGGGTGCAAGAGTATGCGTGGGGTCTGTGGCGTGAGGGTGGAGTGTGTGTGTGATGTGTGTGGCGTGAGTGCGTACGTGCGTGAGGTGTGTGTCGTGTGAGTGGTGTGGTGTGTGGTGGCCCAGATGCTCCTGCCCTGCGGCCCAGCGCGGCTCATTGCGTAAGAAGAGGGAGGGGCTCTGGAACAGGCCAGCCGCAAGCGCCTCTGCCTCGCCAGCAGAGCCAGGAGTGTTTATCTGGGGGCAGCAAGGGAAGGGGCTGCTCAAGGTCACCTAAGAGATCTGGGGCGGAGCCTCCCTTGAACCCGGTTTCCAAATCCAGCCTTCTCTCTGGTCCTCCTGCTGTTACCAGTTCCTATTCATTGGACTTCTCCTGTGCATGGAGCTCCATGCTTTCTACAGATCTTCTCCTCAGAGCTCACGGCCACCCCATCCCCTCTATTTTGTAGCTGAGGAACCTTGCTGCTCACTGTGAGGCACTTTGGACCAATGCCTTACAGCCCTGCTGTGGTAGGAACCCACAGGCGCAAAGCTCAACTGTCCTTTCATCCATAAATGGGGTCTGCCTCCCGCCACCTCTCAGCAGACCGTTTCCTATCTTCAGAATGAAGGGAAGGCCAGAGTACCTGGGATCTGATTTGCCCTGCGTTTCCCTGGACAGGAGCTTTGTGCCATGTCCTAAGGAGAGTGGGGGCCTGGCAAGGCACAATGACCCTTTTCTACTCCTTGGAACGAGTGTTTTTCTTTAAGGAAGGTACTTTTCTGGAAAACATGTTATTTCATGGCCTACTGACTCCAGAATCCAGCCTGTCCCAGAGAGAAACAACTCCCTGGTTGCAGAGCCAAGAATGTGGAGGAGAAGCAGGGCAGGGGTGAGCCCCTCCTGACAGCTGGGTTTAGAGGATCTTCCCGCTCTCAGACATCGTCTAGACAGAACAGGACAGAATCCTGTTCCTCAGCAGGTGCGAAGCTTCCGGGAGGCTGTGGTGGGCTGACTCAGGGCTGAGGTCCCGCTCTTGACAGATGTTTATCAGGGTGAGGCTTCATGGGCTGCTCATTAGGACTGGGTATGGCAAAGACCCCTTTTTTCCTCAAAGTCAGAGATCCAGGGAAATCTACATGTGAACAAAGCTTCCCTGTTGCTGTCCCTGCATGAGCTTTACCACTGTAATCTCCGACTGACCTCCCTGTCCTTACCCTACCACTGCCCGCCTGGCCCCAGGAAGAATCTTTCTCAGACATACATCTAAACTCCTTAGAATTCTCCTATGTGGGCTCTGTTCTCAACTTCAGGCTCTTGGTATCTGCGCTAGGCATAATAATGGTCTCCCAAAGACGTCCACATCCTAATCCCAGGGGCCTGTGAATATGTCATATTATATCCAGAGGGGAATTACTCTTGCAGGTGGAATCACAGTCGAAAACCAAATGACCCCAAAATAAGGTTAGCCTGGATCATCCAGGTGGGCCCAGTACAATCAAAATGTTCT